AGAGTTGCATCGCAGATCTTTGGTTGTTCTCACCTACACGAGCCCTAGCTAGGCTTCCACAAAGCTCTACAGCAGAGAGATCAAGTACCAGCCCCTTCTGACAAGTCTGTTGTCTGGAAGCATTGATTAAGGTATGGGGCAAATGAAGTCCTGGCTACAGAGGGAGAATGAAGGCTGCTCTCGAGCAGGAGTGCCAAGGACAGCCTTCTAAGTGCTGTTGTGGCTGAACTCGCCCCACTTCCAGTAGCCACAGTGCCTGGGCATTTGGATTACAGCAATTACAATTACTGCTCCAGATAGAGCAGGAAGGGCAGCACCTCAACCAGCAATTCACAACTCATCTGTGTCTGCCTCAGGAGCCTGATGTGTCTTGAGACTTGAGAAGAGGGGTCTTGAGAAGATCTCTCACATCTGGATGATAGATGTACTTTAAACATGTTATTTTCATCAGCACAAACACTTCAAGCTAGACCTGTCAATGAGGGGATCTCAGAAGCTGGACTCCTGCTTTAAGCGCAGCAGGTGCCCCTCACATGACTGCCACACTGGAAGAAGTTTGTGGCACACCGGGCTGCATTGGACATTGACACTGAGGGCAGCCAGCCTCACCCCTGCCAAGACCTTCCAGCAACTGAAGCCCAACCCTCTGATTTCCTGCACTGGTTCCCCACACCCCCATCAGGGCAGTGCATCAACCCCACTCATTCACGAGCTTGGCAGACACTGGGGCAGCTTCTGCTGCTTTTTCAGCACAAGTCGCATCCACTGAGGAGTGTCGCATGAGCCTCGGGACAAGGGACATGCCAGGAGCGGAGGAGAAGGCGGCAGCACTAATTGCACCTCCTGAGACTGTGGACTCTGCAGTTGTTCTGGAGGAAGGTTTTCAGATTACAGCTCCAACTCCTGCACAGGGACAGATCAGAGAAAGCGGCTAAACACCTTTTGTCACACCCTCACTCTGGCTCAGTGCTGCAGCATGACTGCGGAGCAAGGCATGAAGTGACCACCCAGCACACCAGAGAGCAGTAGCTGGAGTTTTATCAGAGTCACAGCCTGCCCAACAAATTTCCTCATCCCAAAAGGGCTGGGGATCAGGTCAGGGCTGCTGCATCAAGTCTTGGAAGAGACCAATGGGTGACAGAGCAGACAGGAATGTTTGTCACATGGCTCGCTTTAGCTGGAAGCACAGACCTCAGCTCCGTACGCAAAACGGTGCAGGGTTTGAGCACACGTGGGTGCTCTCCTTAGCCTCAAAACCTCCCCAGCAAGCTAAAAATACAGGCACCACGTTCACTCAAGTGGCCTAAATAAGTCACGGAAGAACCATTTGTGCAGCAATGGTGTCTCTGACAGGAACACAGGCGAGGAGCTCGCTCATGGGCTTTCCATTCCCCCCTGCACACCCCAGTGTAGAACAGGACCCTGCTGCTGCCCAAACTCTCCAGCGTGGAGTGAAGTTACAAGCTCAGTTTTGGCAGACGTTTCCCCAATGATCTGCACAAGAAGAAATTGCTGGACTGGCCAATATCCTCAATATTAACCAGCACTAAAAACCACAAAGAATTCGGTGCCACTGATTGAGATCAGCTTTACAAGGAAGACCTGGCAACTGCTAAAGCAGCTGCTGTAAGAGGCCTGGGAAGAAGCAAACTGAGCCAGCATCAGAGATCTAGGGCATACCTGAGCTGGAGAAGTCAGGAATTTTATGCTAACAACTGATGCCACCCACAGAGAATTACTTGGGGAAAACTGCAAGCACTTCGCACTGCATCACCTGCAGCCACCAGACAGACAGATGTGCAATGTTGTAAGAGCCTCTACAACAGAAACCAGCAGGAGAAAAAAAAAAAAGCAGCCTCTCTAAAGGCAAATAACCGCTAAGGTAGCCAAGAAATCTGCCTCTATCCTCTCTCCACACATTCTCTTTCCAGAAAGGAGCATGCTGGGAACATCCATCCTTGCCCAAGGCTTCCAGGCATGAGACGAGCTGCTCTCCAGCTCCGGGCAGGTTCCCACGGTGTGGGTGACCACAGCGGCAAGTGCCGAGGAAGCTGCACAGCATAACCAGAGCCAATGTGCTCTGCAACAATCCAGCACAGTATTAGTGAGCAACGGGTGTTTTATCCCAAATGCAGCTCTCACGACCACTGCCAAAAGCAGGTTGATGTGCTCTGTCCCGCTGCTGCCGCATTTCCATTGGGATAACCTCGCTGGCATGGGCCACCAAAAGCAAGAGACAGGGAACACAAGTTCCTGGCAGGATTTCCAGGGCTCCAGTTTAAGAAGTACACACTTTCTCTAAAGATGGAGTTAGACTCAAAGCAGGGCTAGGATTTTTCTCCATAGTCCTGACCAAACCTGTCCAATACGGCTTCAGAGCAGCACTAAAGAAACTCAACTGCCCTGTTTCATGTAATGCTGATGGTTGAGGGCCAGGCACCTGCCTTCTGGAATGATCCAAAGTGTAAAAAAAGGGGAAGATAAGTTTTTTTCTGCAGCTGGGAATCACTGGGGCACAGCAGATGAATACACCCATCTCTGTAGCCAAAATAACCATGTTTGATAGTGGTCTGAGCTCCAAAGAGCCCCAGGCATCTGCTCCAACTCCCGCTACTTGCACCCAGGAAGCTCTATAAGCCCGTGGCTTGGCCACCCCTGCACAACACCAAGTTCCCCAGCTGCAGCCCCACTCCTGGGGGGTCTCAGGGACCCCTTGTCTGTCATATCACCTACAATGCAGCAGGGAGGCAGAGCTGGAGCAGCCAGGTCTGGAGTCACCAGGTCATGAGAGACTGGAAGACACGTGAGCAGGCCCATGGAAAGGGCTGCAAGGAGGGTTTAGGGATCAGAGTATCTATTTCATGAGGAGAGGTTGGGAAAGGTGGGATCATCCAGCCTGAAGAAGGCTGGATCAACTTGTTCTAGGACCTGGTCAGGCAGGAAAGAAGAATCCAGACTCTTTCCAGTGACAAGATACGAGGGACTGAGCACAAACTGGAACACAGCTAGTCCCATTCAAGCATAAGAAAAAACCTCAAGAAAGCTTTCTTTAGTGTGAGGGCAAATACAGAATGGGTTGCCTGGATAGACTGCAGAGTCTTCATCCTTGGAAATACTCAAAACCCAACAGGACATGGTCTTCTCCGAGAGAGGGCTGGATTAGGCCCTCTCCAGAGGTCCCTGCCACCCTCAACTGTCCTGAGGATCCACAACCACAAGAACTATCTGCCTCTTCTCAAATTAAAATCATAGAATGCCAGGTTAGAAGGGACCTCAAGGATCATCCAGTTCAACCCCACTTGGCAGAAGCAAGGAAGCCCCTGGACAGGAGCACAAAGATCCCAAATTACACCAGCCAGTACAATAGCACGCTCTCTCCAGTCACAGAAATAAACAGCATTTCTGGAAAGCACCATTTCTCAAGACAAAACCCCCCAGATTTCTCCCAAATAGCAGAAAAACAGTTTTCCATGGAGACAGGAGCTGGCTCCACTTCTACAGGGTATGTAGAAGTATGTATTTTAGTTGAGCACTGCTTCCAGCCCTGCAGTCACTGCCTACTGCAAAGAAAAGGCATTTACTGACATCTAAAATTACTCTACAATTATCTGCAGCCCCAGGAGCGAGCACCTGGAGTTGTTTCTTCTTGAAAGCAGGAAGATTACATACCCAGATGAGTCATTTCTCTTCCCACCTGTGCTACGGATCCTGCCACACCACACAGAGGTCAGCACACATCACAAGGGGATGTCAGTGGTTTTACTTTCCAGCTGCAGGAAGTCTGTCCAGTAACTCCAGAAAAAAAAAATAATTCCATATTTCTAATTCTATGAGTATTCTGATCACTTCAAACCAGAATTTTAGGAGGAGACTCTGCTGCCACCTTCTGAGATCGCCATTACTGCAGGTGCCCCCAAAACGACTAAAAATAGCTTGTTTCCCCCCAGTTATGTCATCAAAGCAAGGGATGGATTTATTTTGCAAAGAAAGAGCCAAGCCCCCGCTCAGGGGAGCGCTGCTCTCAGCAAGCATCCTAGCCTCAGCCTTCAGCTTGAGCTTCACCTCCCCCACACAACATAAAAATAGGTTTAACAAGAGAAACTAGAGCAGCCCGTTTGCAGTCAACATAGACAGAGCTCGCTAACCTTTGAGGCACTTACAGCACAGCAATCCTGACTATAGTTGATTCAATATATATGTATAAACGTACAAAATAAATGTATGTGTATATAGCATGCCTGCTTTAGCATCACAATCAGTAAGTAAGACAACCCAGCACCGTTACAGGCGACATTTTAAGCTGTGTCATTAACTGTCTCATTTGCAGCTCCGGGCAGTGAGACAAGAGGGTAAACCTGGCCCTGACCCTCAGCGGGCACCAGGACACAGGCAGGGCAGTGGGAGCAGACACACATCACGGCTGTAGACATAAAAGCCGTGGCAGCGCTGCCCCCAAACCCCACACAGAAAAATGATTTTTTTTTTTTTTTTAACGAGGGAAGCAAGGCATCAGCCCTCAGAACGGTCACACCGACAGGGAGACACTCAGCTCGGACAGGGCGACACTCAGCTCGGACAGGGCCAAGCTTGAAGTTGCCACAAGGAAGGGACAAGGCCTAAGAAACCAAGAAAGGCTCCAGTCGCCCCTAGGAGGGCTGTGGGTCAGCGGCCGTGTGGCACAGAGGGCCCGGGCAGCCGCAGCCCAGGGATAGGGCAGCCCCCCAAGCAGGCGGGGAAGAAGAGCCCCTCTCCCGGATGCACAGCCGGGCCGGCTGGCGACCCCACAGCGGCAAGGAGCCCCAGGAACGGCCCGTTCTCACCTTCTTGCCTTTCTTGCCCTCTTCCTCCATCTCTCCGGCGGCGGCGGCCCCGGCCCCCCCCGGGGCATCCCCGCAGCGGCCGTGCTCGCCCGGCCTCGGTGCGCGGCAG